GTTGTATCGTAATATGATACAACAACCTTAAAAAACTAAGTTAAGGCTATTTGTTTGATCCAAAATTTAAAATATACGTTTTTTTCATCGTAATGAACAATCACAAAAAAAAAAAAACTTGAAATACAACTTAGAAAATAATTTTTTAATCCAATTAACATAGGCTGTCCATTTTGATAAGATGCTTAGATCTAAGCTTTAGAAGGATTTATTATTTTCAATTTTTTTAGATGGCTTTATTAACAAGGTTACTCATAGGAAAAAAATTATATATAGCTGAGGCTCTAAGCAATCAAATTGATATTCAAATATCTTCAAATTGATAATCTCGACATCAAATGCATGGGCATGAGAAAAAAATAGATTTCAAGTTATGAAAATAGTACATCTTGTAACGCATTTTTGGACCGTCAATTTTCAAGAAATTTCAAATTTTTATAGATCTGTTCGATCAACACTATTTTGAAGCTTTAAATTTTATAATTAAAGATAAAAATATATTTTAAAGTTATCACAAATATTTCCAGTATTGGAACCATATTTCTCTACATTATTTGAGGGTGGGCCTTACTTTGATGGTTAATAGCCTCACCTCTATACAAACCGCAACCTTTTATATTATTGCTCTCAATTTCACTGACCAAGCCTAGAGTTCAGCAAAAAATTTCGTCCAACTTTGTGAAGGTAAATGGTCTCATTGCATACGACCCCTTTGTGTAACCTTTGAATACATCCTGCAGGTGAATCTTACCAGTAGTTTAGAGACTCGAGATTAGATCCCCAACCTGTCACAGAAATAGAACCCAAAACGTCATCAACCCGCCATAGACAGACAAAATTATGCATTAGCCTCATCTCTTGTATTGGCCGGTGGACACAACTCTCTCATGGCTCTGGAGGCGCCATGAAAGCTCACCCTAACCTCAGAATGGTGGCCCCCCTTCTCCTGCATCTGTGCAACTCTCTCCGCCTCCAGGAAACTCACCCTCTTCTGCTCACCAATACCCACCTTCTTGATTCCTCTGCAAACCATGATTTACAAATCTCTGAAATTCCCCACCAAAAACTCTCAGGAAACCACAAGACGCTACTGTAGCTCGAGCTTACTCAACTAGAAGTCAAATGAATTTTACAGGCCCAAAGTGTTGAAAACCCGGATAAAAGCTCTGTAATTCTCTTCTGTTCAGACCAAAAAAATCTTTCTTTCCATGTTCCTTTCACGAAACAATTCAACTTGAAAACTGAAGCATCTGGGAATGCACTTAGATCCTTTGTACATGGGGGTTGTTATTTGAAGATTGGAGCAAATTTAGGGGCAGGAATCAATGAAAAAAATTCAGAAAAAGTTCTTGGAGCATCAAAATTTTTTGAAAAAACAGAGGATTTCATCAGCCTTTTCAACCAATGTTCGGAAACTCCAAGCAAATTGCCCGAAGGAAAATTCAGAAGAGAAGTTCAAAGCACTTCAAACACAAATCTTGAAATTCAGGCCGATTCTCCTGCCAAAAGACCTCAAAAAATCACAGGACCGAATTCGAGATTTCGTTCAAATGCTTTTAACCCTGATTGTGAAACTCAAGCTAGACCTCAGCCTGAGAAAACCCAAGAAAAGGCGTCATCAATTCGTGCCCAAATAGGCCAGTTATGTAAAGAAGGCCAGTTAGATGAAGCCATGAAACTCTTTTACACTCTCTCTAAGCCAAACATTGTCATGTATAACACACTAGTTGTAGGCTTTATATGCAATAGATTGGCTAAAAATGCTCTTGAGTTCTACTCTAATTAGTTTCCAATGGCCTGAAAGCTGACCATTATATTTACTCGGCGGCCATGAAAGCTTGCACTGAATTGCAGGAGTTAAGATTAGGTATGGCTATACACTCACAGATTATACTCAATGGGGTGAACCCATCAAATTCTCTACAATTCTCTGCTAACCTTGTATTGTAATTGTCTAGACTCTCATTCGGTTCAGTCACTGTTTGATAAAATGCCTTGAAAAAACTCAATCACTTGTAACACCATGATTTCCTGGTTTGTTAGGAATGAGCAAGCTTCAAAAGCTCTTGACCTCTTTAATTTCATGTTAATGGCAAGAATCCAGCGGACTATTGTGAGTTTTGTGAACATTTTCCAGCCTCCTCATTATTGGGATTGGGTTTTAAACCATTAGGCTCTCTCCATGTGTTGATCGTAAAGCATGGGCCAAGCTACTATAACTGCCCTTTTGCTGCTAGCACCTTGATATGTGCCTATTGTGAGATTTTAGCAATAGATTTAGCAAGGAAGATTTTTGATCGGTTATCTGATAAGAATGTAGAGGTATGGAATACCATGATCAATGGGTATCTTCAAAATAACTTTTCTGGTGAAGCCCTAGAAGCCTTCCAGCTAATTCTTGTTTCCAAACTCCAACCAGACATTGTGACCCTACTGGTCGGATTAACAACCATTTCTCAAGCTCAAGTTATAAAATTTGGTAGAGAATTGCATGCTTATTTGATTTAAGGCTGTTGAGAAATCACCATTGATCTTGTCCAATGCGCTAATTGCTATGTACACGAGGTGTGACGGGATTGAAATTTCTAGGAAAATTTTCGATGGGATGGTTGAAAGAGATTTGGTTTCATGGAACACAATGGTATCGGCATCTGTGCAAAATGGGTTTGATCTGGAAGGTTTAAAGCCTGTTCGAGAAATGCTAAGGCTTGGGTTCCATCCTTACTCCATCACTGTCACAGCCTTAACGTCTGCAAGCTCGAATTTAAGAGATTCAAGGCGTGGGAAGCAAACCCATGCTTATATTTTAAGGAATGGAGTTGAACCTTAAGGGCTTGAAAGCTATTTGATTGACATGTATGCGAAATCCGGTCTCATTACGGTTTCAGAGCTAGTCTTTGATAAAATTATTGAGAGAGATACAGTGGTTTGGCATGCCATGATTGCTTGTTATGTGCAAAATGGGGTGGGCGATAAGGCCTTTGCCATCTTTCAGGAGATGCAGGAGCAAGGATGCACACCCAACTCAGTAACAATTGCCTCTTTGCTCCCTGTTTGTAACCTCACAGCATCGATACGAATGGGTGTGAGCTCCATTGCTATGCAATTTGCCACTTCCTTGATCAAAACGTGTTTGTGGATACTGCATTAATTGATATGTATGGCACATGTGGCTCTATAGCTTCATCAGAAAAGATCTTCAATCAAATGCCTCAAAAGAGCACCATCTCTTATACTACTATGATATCTTGCTATGGCCAAAGGGCTCTAGAACTCTTCAATCATATGCCTAAACTTGGGATAAAGCCGGATAGGATCACTTATGTAGCTGTGTTATCAGCTTGTGCATTCTCTGGGCTTGTGGATGAGGGGATTCAGATATTCGATTCAATGGTGGGTGAGAAAAAACCTGGAATGGAACACCACTGTTGTGTTGTGGATATGTTGGGTCGGGCGGGTAGAGTGAGAGAGGCTTATGAATTTGTGGAAAATATGGGGACAGAGGCTGATGTGAGGATATGGGGTTCTTTATTAGGGGCCTGTAAGATCCATGGAGAACTAGAGTTAGGGAAGGTAGTTGCTAAGAGGTTGTTTGAGGTGGAGAAAGGGTTGGTAGGCTACCATGTATTGTTGTCAAATATGTATGCTTCAAAGGGAAGGTGGGAGAGTGTGGACATGGTGAGGAGAGGGATAAAGGAGATGGGGCTAAAAAAGGAGCCTGGCTGTAGCTGGATTGAGGTAGGGGGATGCGTTCATTTGTTTGTGGCAAAAGACCAAAAGCACCCTCAATCTGATGAGATATATGCCAAACTAAGAGATCTAGATGCTGATATGAGGTTGCTGGGGCTGTAATCAAGGTGCATTATAATGATCACCAGGGAAATGGAAATAGATAGTGGCACATTGATGAAGCAAGTTGGGTTCCATCTGCCATGTAACTTGGCTATGTGGAGCTCCTTAACTGAACCGCTTAGCTAGAGGTTTGAATGTCACACTCAACAAGTAAGAAAAGGATGCCTGCTTTAAAGTGCGGCCTTAATTAATCTGAGGTGGACTGCATGTTGCATCTCATAGAGGAGTGCCTATAAATTCAACCTTGTGAATTGGAAAAAATGAGAGAAGGGTCATGAAGACACACCAAAAGATATTGAATCGGTCTCCGGTGGGACAGCACGCGAGATGGAAATCTTCTATATAGCATTGATGATCTTAAAAATAATCTGTCCCTCTCCCTCTCCCTTCTTCCCTCCCCTATTTTCTTTGCCTTGTACCTTATTTTTCACTGTTGTACAAGTGGTACATATTGTTTTTGACAAAATAATGTATTAAGTTTAAGCCTTCAATTGGATGGATAGCTCCAAAGTTGAACATTGTGCTGTACTTTTAACAGCCTTTAGTAAATTTAGTATATTCCTAAATATACAAACGAAGTCTATCATTAACTGATTTAAAGTAATTTTTCCCCTGCAAATTACTGACGGGCTAACGCGTCAAACATAACATGCATGTGGTAGGTAGATTCTCCTTAAATGTCCAGTAACATGAGATGGAGTATCCACGCAAAAATCATCAACAAAATTAGATGTCATGGATAAGCATTTCACAAGGTTGTTATCTAAAGAAGGGGGGATGTTTCTTGACGCATTTGTGAGCTCATTTAGGAATCATATATAGCAGACAGCACCAGAGGCCTAACATGTTTGATAGCATCACAGTAAAGATGGTGGTGCAGCCGAAGAGTTGTTCTGAAGAAGCATAGTTTTGACTGCTGATCTTTATACTAGGTGGAGACAGATATTTTAGGGAAATTTATGATATCTTTCTTTCCCCAACCGTATGAAAAATTCATACAGAAGAACTTAATGAAACTATTCTAAGAGGATGATAATCCATTGGGACGAGTAAAACATCCGTTACTCTCGAATCTGGAATTTGAAGGGGTTGATGATATCTGGAACTCTACACCCACTGACCTTGTTCGCAACATGTGCAAAAATTTGTCCTCTGTTGATGTACATTTGTGAATATTGGATAGATTTTATTCAAGGTGCTTCAGTGAGCCAAGACTAGTGCGAAACATTGATGAAGATGATCTATGATCACTGGAAAAGTATCCAATGAGATCATTTACCTTTGGTACAAGGTGGTCAAAATTAATTTTGACCATTGGATATAAAATTGGATGGATGCATTTATTTCATTGGCCATTGGATATAAAATTGACCATTGGATATAAAATTGACCATTAGATATAAAATTGGATGGATGCATTTATTTCATTGACCATTAGATATAAAATTGGATGGATGCATTATGTACATATTCTAATGTTAATTGAAATTTTGAACTCCTTAATTATTTTGTCAGGGGTTTGACCCCCTTAAAGGATATTTTTTCAATTATTTATTAGATTCATAAAAAAATACAAAAATAAAGAATATAAAAATTGCTAAATTATCTAAAAACGAATTTATTCCGTGAAAGGCAGCTCATGCATTTACCCTTGGCATTAGAGGGAAAACCATTAAAAATCTATATTGTGCCTCTAATCCATGAATTGGAGCTCCAAACTAGAGCAATTTTGATGATTTTTTAATAATTGAAATGAGGAGTCTAGATAAAGACACAATATGGATCATTTTTTAGGCTTATTATTATGTTTCCTTTTTTTTAGATTCATTATTGCGATTGTTTAAATAATTATCCTTCATAAATCTTGGGAATTAGTTCTTGAGGGATTTTGGAAATGTGGACTTCTTGTAAGAAGCGCATCCACAGATGCACCTAAAATCCACCCCATTAAGATTATGCAGATTTATGGAGAGGTATTATAGTATAAGCAAAAAATATTAAAAGCGAAGCCACTAGCATCGCAATTTTTAATGTGATGGTCATCGATTCAATTTCGATAGCCGTCTTTTATCTATTTGTTCAATTCTTTTATAATTTATCATTTTTTCAAATCAAGAAAGAATGACAAGATCAATAAATATTAAAAAGAAGATTTCGTATAGTTAACTCAAAATAATTGGTATAAAGCTCGGATAATGATGATGAGGATGTATTTTGATGCAAGTGGCTAAAAGATCTAAAACCCTTTATTTCTAAAACCCTATCTCCCCAGTCAATCTCTATAAAACCCCCTCCCTCTCACTACCGAATCACTCTATGAAACCCCCTCCCTCTCACTGAAACTCTCTCTCTCAAACCCCCCCTCTCTCTCCATCTGAAACACCTCTCTCCCTAAAAACCTTTCTCATCTGAACCCAACTCACTTTTTCATTGAAAACCACATTTTCAACTTAAAATGTCCACTTATATGAGCAACCGACAACATGGTTTTCCACAATTGAACTTACACTTGCCGCCAGTTATATTATCCAGACTCAAGGTTTCATCCATGTTCCTCTCTCTACACCAAAAGCTACAACACTTTGAGCATAACTACTGAGGGTATAGAAGATATCGCCAACACAAACCATCATATTTAGGGTTTTGAGCCCAGTTTTATGAGTTGGTCTCCATTTCCTGGTCTAGAGCCATGCACGACTCGTTTCAAAGACAGTGAAAGCCAAAATCTTGAAATTTCAAGAGACCTCCATGAAACTCATCTCCAAATATCAAAACACCTCCGCTTACAATTTCGATTACCAAAGACGCATGCCTCCTCTCCCTCATCCTCACAGCAGAGGCCCTTTTCTCTCTCCTCATCTTCACAACAAAGGCCCTTTTCTTGAGATCCCTTTGCTCCCACCTAAGAATCCTTTGCTCGTCTGAAAAACCTAATCTCAATATTATGAAAAAGGCTTTTTGAGAGAGAGAGAGACGGCAAAAAAGGAGCAGAGAGCAAAGAAAGAAATAAACTTTCAGGTGAATACATTTTGGGCTTTTGGGCCGGCAGTTTATTTCCCGGGCCTAGCCCCAACCCGAAGATCGAATGCCTGCCTGAAATCAGACCCAGCACAAGTGCCCGAAGCCCGGACCAAACCATTGGCTCACCCTACTTGAAACCAAGAGAATCAACAACCCTTCACTTCAAAATATACAAGCAATGATGCAAAACTAATTTATTTGGAAAACATTGCAAAACAACGGAAATTTTCCTTATTTCTTAACTACAAGTATTCAAAAAAATCACTCAACGAAGTGGAAATGGTCTACCCAAACTCGCCCTAAGCTGTTTCTATCAACTGCACTTATGTGGAGCTTCTTGCTGCAACTTTGAGATGGATTGATAAACTTTTGTTCACGTAACTCTGCATGAGGATTTAAGCCTTTATTTTTCGCCCATAGATCTCTAGAAACCCAAAAGAATTAAGGAAAGAGAAAAGAAACCTCATAATAACTGAATTCTGATATCAAACAAAAAGGCCATAGCTGCGGCAATGGCATATAAACAACCAATCCACAACCACCTTTCTAAATTACAAAAATAAAAGAAATGGGTGCCAATGGACCTGGACAACTAGGCCTTGGGAACACGAGGCCCACATCAGACCCTATCATCACAATGTTAATTACATTTCATCTTCTTTAATCCACTTTATCAGATGGCTCCATGTCCGACCGGCAAACATCTCCACGACACGAGGACACACCCTGCATCAATCCTTAAGTTAAAGATGTTATACAAGAAAACTTTTGACCTAAACATGTAAAAGAACTATTGCAAAAATAATCACAGCCAAAAACCAATCAATGAGCCTAAAGTTGGACATCACTCAAACATATATAATAGATCATAATAGAAACACATCTTTTCCCCATTTTTTACACCATTTAGCCAGCTAAATTATCTTTGTATTATCTTTACCCTCAGGAAATTATATGCAACGGTAGAAATGTTCGATATTGTTTAATCTTTTGCATATTTATACTATCTAATGAGAGGTTGGGGTCTTGGCCGTAGTACTGTCGAGCCCCATGATGAAATCTCGGACTCCATTCTCACCAAAGGGTAAAGGGCCCAAAACCCCACTGACTTACCTCTTTTTTCTCGGGAATGGGGTTGAGGTCGAGGTGGTAGCACCACTTGAGCCTCAGCTACTGGTCTAGGTTTCCATTCCCTTGATGCATTTGAAAATAACAAACCATTTCCGAATTAGGTAGGGACCTGTATTCCCACTGATCTACCCAAAAAAAAAGGCGCATGAAACCTTATATCCACTACACAAATGTGAGGCTTTTTGTTTCACCACACACACAACTATTGACATAGGCTTTCTTCTATTTTCATCTATTTTATGTGATGTGAAGGAGATAGTGCATCATAGCATTTGAAAATAAATGAAAAAAACATCGTTATGAGGAGTCTTGGAGGGCAAACTCTAGAACTCTAACTACCCAAAGGTAGGTTATTGCATTTGTGCACATTGAGCCACCATCTTGAATCAGTGACCTATCTTTAATGCTTCCAAACTCCCTCCGCCAAGAATGGCCTATAGTCATTAGAATTGAGAGCAAGGTCAGATCCCTAATCAGGATCGAGGCAACAGAATAGAGGAATAAAATCCCTACACTTTGAGTAAAGGGATCGTGATCCCAAAATAAAGGGAGCACAACCCAAATTTGTTAAGAGGATCATATGATTAAGAATTTGGATCAAGGCCCGTCCTTCTTAGAATTAGTGTTCCATAGACACTTTGTATATTGCTTGTGCTTGGTGTCATGTGTCTACATATATCAATATTAAGATACGCGTTGACACACATAGATACACCATCTACACTTGCCATAAATGTTTGATGACATCATCATCTTTTGAGAACGTAATCGACACCTTAAATAAAACAAACGGAAGGTTTGAACCCCAAAACACTTGGGAAAAGAAAACAAACTGCTAGATGATGCAT